TTGTAGAGGCCATGTAGCATGCTTATGTTTCTGTCGCTCCTCCGGTTGCATCCCTCGTTAAGCGAGAAGGCCCTGTTGAGGTGTGTTCGCTGGCGCTGAAAAGAGGTCATGTAGTGTTCTGACCCTCTAGAAGCGGTTGCTCGGACTAAGTCTACCCATCTTGCCTTGAGGCTGTTGGAGTGTAAACACCTTTCGATATAGTCGAGTGGATGTACAATGTCTTCCAACATTGGCACGCTGCGAGAAGCGATAATCCCATATCCTGCGCCAGGTTTATCGTGACGGCACCGTCCTGCAAGTAAGTATGTCATTGCTGCCTGGCTGAAGACGCAATTCGGGGCATCTTTCGGAAGCAGGCTACCACCATTGCTGTGCTCACCTTGCATCGAACATGAGAGAGCACATTTCTGCATGTCTGGGCTGTGCGCCTGTCGTTTCCTAGAACACAGGTCAAAGATGGCTGAGAGGACTCTGTTTCGCATGCCTTCTGTGGACCAGGGCTTGCCTTGTCAGACAAGCGGGTCTCCGTCTAAGCCTCAAGCTTACGCATTTTTTCAAATCTTTCCCATGCAGCGCGTGATTTTTGATCGAGAACTGAGCGTGGCCTTCTGACATCACTTGCTTCGTTACTGTCGTTCCAAGCCGGCAGGAAGGATGACTTGCATTGGCTGGACATTGAGGAGCAGGTGGGACCCCACTCCCGAGCTTGGGGCCTACCATGCGTTGAAACGCTCCTGGCACTTTTGCAAAGTCTTGGTGTTTTTGGAAACTGCCTTCGGGGCCGTAGGCTGAAGTTTGTTTCGGCAAGAGCAGAAGCGGTTTCTTAGAGTGAAGAATCAAGACCTGTCTCGCTAGCTTGCTGGTTCCTTGTTCCCTGGTCGGTTGATGTTATTCGTCGTTGTCCTTGTGGCGGCAGTTCAGTTCCAAGAGACTCGGAACTTCGCCAGGCGGTGGAGGCACTGCTGAGCAACGTGCATCCCGTGCAGCTCCGGCGGCCGACGCTCAGCCAAAGGGAGCTTCGTTGATGGGTCCTGAACTGATCATGGAGCAGCGTGCAACCTCAGATGGTCAATCTAACAAGAGGACACTTGTCCTCACGGGGGCTAAATGGCACGGCCTTCTCATAGGACTAGGTTGGTAAAAGCCCATGATGCAACCTTTTCCAGGTTGCGGCCCTTCGTGGTGCTGACGCTTGACACGATGGACTTTGCATGCTGGTATCTCGGCTGACAGGCAAGGACACGGTGAACTTCGGTGAGACTCCTCGCAGGTCTGAAGAGTTCGTCGTCTTGTGGTCGGTCATGATTTCTGCGTGCTTAGGCTTAGGTTACCGAAAGACGAGACCGCAATTTGGTCGGCGACTTCAATAGAGGCAATTTCTGTGCGTTCGTGCCAGAAGTGGCCCGCGTGCTGATGCATTCAATTAGAGCGCTTTTCTTGGCAGCTTTCTAGGATCCAATGGGAGGTTAAGCATTCATGGGGCCCAGGCAGGTTCGGATGTTGTTTGAAATCATTTGCAGGCAACACTCGGTTTTTCAAACAGAGAAGTGTGTAGGCCGGCGTGCGTGTATGGCAGCATGGTCATTGTTAGTATATGCCTCGGGCCTAGAAGGATGGAGTTGTCATCTGTGAGATAGCTGTTTACTAAATCACTTCCAGGCAGTGGCTCGGAACGAAGGAGTGAGCCACACGGTCCACCAGAGACAGCCCAGCTAGTGGTAGTGAAACCGGGGCTTCTGTCACGGCTACTGTAGTCTTTCAGAACGCACCCTCCTGCGCCGCATGGGTTGATAACCAGCACCGTGAAATCGAGCAAGGCTCTTGGGTGTGAATGCAGCGGATGCGAAGATGCCGGCTAGCCTGACCAGAGGTCGGGTGAGGGCTTGGCATTTCTGTTGACCGCTCCGTTTGTACTACTAGCGTAAAAGCTAAGGAGCAGGAAAACGCACCCCCGTAATGCAATGGGTTTACCGGGCTAACGGTTCTACAGTTGTTGGAAGTTACCTTGCTTTTGGCATGCGGCAGTTTGTGACCTCTGCGTGAAGATTTGCAGTAGACAGTCTTAGACTGATAACTGAGATGGCGCCTTGCCGAGCGCGAGAGGGCTGCTCCCACAAATCTGAACCCGAAGCCCTCCGCGATAGTTCGGGCCCAGTTGTCTGGAAGCCTTGCCTGCTTTGTGCGAGTTGCGAGTCGAAACCCAGGGACCCAGTGTGAGAGTTGAGGCCTCCGGTCCACAAAACCCGTTGGGCCTGCAAGTGCAAAGTCCAGAGCCCACGAACTTCGGGACCAAGGATCTTGAGCCAATGCCATGAAGTCTGAACCCTCCGCTCAATGTCGAGTAAGCTTGCGCAGGAGCTGGCGAGGAGGAGGAGACCGATGACGGCAGCCCGCTTCCTATCGGAATTCTCAGGGAGGGGGCTTAGCCATGTTTCGTAGCTTAAGGTCTTGGCATTTCAGGCAGGGCAGGAACCCCCAAAGGGACCTCGGCCGTCAGCCTGAAAAGAAGCGCGTCCGATCGCGTCCCATCGCTTCCGAGCATCGGAGTTTGGGCCCTTCGCCCTGAGAGAGAGCCGAGGTCCATCCCGCGGAGCATCTCGTGCTGCTCGGCTGCGTTCCATCTCCGATACCCACGGCTCAACTTGGTACGCATTCTGGCACCGCTTAGCTTTGTACGGGATGCTTACTCGGACCTCCGCAACTAGCGTCGCAGCGTCTTTCGAGTGAGTCGTCCTGCATTTTATATTCCCACCCAAAATATGTATGGTCGCATCCCTTCAATCGAAGATAGCGGACCATTTCCAGGAGCACCTTTAATCCCAGCTTGGGCTTCGGGACGTTCTCGAAGGCAGCCTTTGAAGCCTTCCGCTCGTTCTGTTTTAGGCTTGCTGGGCGAGTCCGGCTGCGACCACCTGATAACCTTTGGGCCTCTTGTTGGCAGAAACTGCTGCCTGTACATGACGTCCATGCAACGCAGTAGGCTAATCCTCCCCCTCCTTCTGCTCCTCCTCCTCCTCCTCTACCGTTCTCCACTGCTGGTGCTGCTAGCGCCAGCGGTACTGCTGCTGCTGCTGCTGCTGCTGCTGCTGCTGCTGCTGCTGCTGCTGCTTTTGCCACTGCTGTTGCCACTGCCGCCGCCACTGCCGCTGCTAGTGCTACTGCTGCTGCTGCTACTGAGGTTCCTGACCCTGCTCCTGCTCGTGCTCCTGCTCCTGCTGTTGAAACTGCTGCCACATCACTACCACCGGTGAGTCCTACCACTGCGACTAGGACGACCAGGACGACGATGGCGACGACTACTGCCACTACTGCTTCTTCTAGAGTAGCAGGATCACGAAGCTCATCTTGGCATTTACCCTCGCCAACCACGTCTTGGCATTAACCATCGCCAACCACGTCAGTATGTGGCGAGGAAAACAGCGCCTTGTCCTGCTCGTCGCCAGTCGTCCTCGTGGCAAACCCGAAACCCAGAATCCCATGTTGAGTTCCAACTTTCTTTATCGGCCTTCCTGCCTGACATGGGCTCAGGGTTGGAGGGGCAGGCATAGCTGTAGAGTCCTGCTTCGAAAAAAGTTCCAACTTTAAGAACGTTCAGAGCAGACGCCAAAGTGACCACGATGTTATCCAGACCTCACCCGGCCCACGAAGTTGTGACAGAGGAAGTTTTCTGCTTGGTTTCTGAAGTGGTAGTGCCAGCGTGTCAACTCAAGCAGAGCGATGCTGTTGGGGAGTTTGTCCGGCGATTTCTTGGATTCCTCGTCTGACTGTTGGCCTGTGGGCCTGACAGGGCTGAGTTGGGGAATCGACCGAAAGTACATGATGAATGGCATTGGCCTCGGGCGAAAAGCAGGCTGCTAACCGCTCAAAGAAGAGCCCCGAGTGCGGTCCAGGATCTTGCTCTTGGGTGGTGCAGCCACCGCTGCAGCCGGCGGGAGCCCGCTGGCGCTGGCATCGATGGGAGTGCTCAGATGGCACTTATAGCTGTTCCCGAAGTTGGCACGCTGCCATCTTTGGGGCCGCGTGCGATGGCCATTCGTTCTGCGGTTTACAGTCTGTTGTTTAGGGTCCTTTGCTTTTTGATCAGGGTTCTTGTGCATGGCTTTTCTTTGTGTGTGTGTGTGTGTGTGGGTGGGTTGGAGAGCTTCTGAGCTTTACGTTAAATCTGAAGGCACACATGCACACAAAGAAGCGGCCACAAGCGCAGAGACAGACATACGCACAGGCACAAGCACGGACACGGACAGACAGAGAGACACACTCAGAGACACACTCACACTCGCACTCACACTCACACGCGCACTCACACTCACACTCACACTCGCACTCGCACTCGCACTCACACTCACACTCACACTCACAACTTCACACTCACACTCACACTCACACTCACACTCACTTTCGCTCACTCTCGCTTACTCTCGCTCACTCTCGCTAACTCTCTCTTGCTCGCACTCACTGACTCACTCCCTCGCTCACTCGCTCACTCGCTCGCTCGCTCACTCACTCACTCACTCACTCACTCACTCACTCACTCACTCCACTCACCCACCCACCCACCCACCC